GTAAATATTTTAATTTGTATAATTTTCACTATTGATATTACGAAAATTGCAGATCCGTTAAGTTACTGGGTGGGTCTATAATAGATATAATCGCGCCTCAACTAGCTTTTATTTTTAATACTAGTATCGAATATGGTGTGTTTCCTGATTTAATGAAGCATAGTAAAGTAATACCTTTATTTAAATCTGGTAGTACATTAGACCCCGCCAATTTTAGACCAATTTCTGTACTGCCAACACTTAATAATATTTTTGAAAAAATTATTCTTGATCAAATGTTAATTTTCTTTAATATAAATAATTTACTTCATAAAAATCAATTTGGTTTCACAAGGGGTCGCTCGACAACTGATGCCGGTGTTGAGCTGATTAAATATATATTTAATGCATGGGAGAATTCACGGGATGCTTTGGGTATATTCTGTGACCTATCCAAAGCCTTCGATTGTGTTCACCATGAAACATTAATCAGGAAATTATAACACTGGTGTAAGAAGTAATGCTCTTAAATTAATTATTTCATATTTAAGTAACAGAACGCAAAAAGTTGTCAATAATAGTATGAGCTCTTCCAGGTCGATATTACAAATGGGGGCGTGCCTTAAAGCTCCATTCTTGCCCCCTTTCTGTTTCTTGTATATATTAATGACTTACCTTACATAGTAGGGGATAACCATAATGTAGTATTATTTGCTGATTACACTTCATTAATTTTTAGGGTTCCGTACCTCAAAAGGAAAAAACGGAACCCTTATAGGATCACTTTGTTGTCCGTCTGTCTGTCTGTCTGTCTGTCTGTCTGTCTGTCCAGACCCTTTTTCTCAGGAACGCGTGGACGTATCAAGAGGAGGACAGTAGATTTGAGTATTTGAAATGAAATTCATATCAAATACTCAAATCTACTGTCCCTTGGAGCTGTGAAAAAATCAAACTTCTAAGTCAACGCAATCAAAAGATACAGCCGTTTATGCCGCAAATTTTCCACATTCGCAAGGGAATCAAAACCTACAGGGTACTTCCCGTGAACTCATAATCTTAAAATTTGGTACGAAGCAACGTATTATAGCACAGATAAAGGAAAAATTGCGAAAAACATAAATTTTTAGTTACATCATATAATAAAAATATTTTTAATAGTTTTAAACTTATATACCTACGGATTTGTTCCCATAAGGAACCCTCGGTGCGCGAGTCCGACTCGCACTTGGCCGGTTTTTTTAAAAATAAAACAACACTTATTAAAATATGACGAAGAAGAATAAAACAGGTAAATGAAATTGTATACTTGGGGAGTGCTTTTAGCCGGGATGGAAGATGTGATTTAGATGTGGACAGGCGTGTCGCTGCCGGGAACAAAGTCAATGGTGCCCTGACTGCGTTAGTCAAAAGGCAAGGCGTAGTGAAGAGTGCACGCCTTGCAATACATAACGCAGTGTTGGTACCGACTTGGTTATATGGCAGCGAAACCTGGGTATGCCAGAAGAAGCATAAAAGCAAGTTGAATACAGTGGAGATGCGATCTCTTCGTAAAATGTGCGGCGTTACCATGGCCGACCGAAAGCGAAACGAAGAGATTCGCAATATGGCAGGTTTGAAAGATAACCTTATCACAAAAATTGATAAGGGCGTGCTTCGGTGGTTTGGGCACGTTGAGCGAATGAGTGAAGACCGAATGGTGAAGAAAATATATAACGCGGAAGTTAATATTAAAAGGTGTCGAGGTAGACCGAGACTAACTTCCGAAGACCATGTGAGCAAATTGCTCGAAGAGGGTAGGGTCAAGAGTACTCGGATACCTAGACGTGCATGTATGAAGAAGATAATGAATCTGAAAGAAGCGAAAGAGGTATGTAAGGATCGTGACACTTGGCGATCTGTTCTCTCTGGCTACCCCGTCAGGGATTGTGCGTGAAGATAAGTAAAGTAAAGTAAATAATACTATATCTAATATAAAGAATATGCGCGGTGGGTAAGGCGTCCTCAACTCCCGGTACGCGTGGAGAAGGTTCTGCTTGCACTAAACATCTAGGATTAATACTAAAATTTTTGTAGGCTATTATAGCGTAGATATTTTCGCTTTTGTATGGGAATGATCTATCTGTTACGTAGTAACATTATTTTATCTGTTGTATTGGTCTATGATACAACTCGATGGTAATGGAAATTATTTTACGCTCACCAGATGTCTCCAGTCGGACTAAGGTAAGGCTATTTGTTACGCAGATGGACACACACTCGTTATTATTGAAAAGTTACCTTTTAAATTAAAATTTTTCGGTTTCTAGTGTATGTATATACTCGTATACACAAAACAATGCCTCAGTGCTGTAATCATTTATATGTATGTATGTATAATTTATGTTTATGATTAATCTACGCCGAGCCATGCTGCAGCTATATTAGTAGTAGGTATAGTTGTAGCACGAATGAGTCGGATCGACCGGGGAAGGACCACGCTTTCACAGAATACTAACGTAATATAGCAACTTAACGCTGCTGTGTTTCGTATGGTGAGTGTAGAGAGCCGGAGGCCCTTTTTACAGCATTACATCTTCGTCCTCCTTTTGATTCCTAATCGAAAATAGATGTAGATGTCTATGGGCCGCAACAACCACTTACATCAGGTGGACTGTGTGTTCATTTGTCGCCTTTATCCTATAAAACAAGTTATAAAAAACGAAAGATGATGTTTTTTTTTTATAGATGATCTTTGATTGAATGAAAAAAATTGAATTAAATGAAATAAAATCTCTATACTTTTCTAAGAAATTAACTTCCCCCGCTGTGAAATCTGTCGAATATTTAACTTCAAACATCATTAACTCACTCTCTTCTTGAAGATTTTGTCTTCGGGAGTGACAAAGCATCTATATTTTCGTTATCAATCGAAGAATAACCATGTATTTGTATGGGTCACAGCATCCACATACAATGAAGCTGTGTGCTTCATTGAAATAATTGAATAAAAAAATATAATCAGCTGGAGTTTGTAAGCCATTGACGCTTATGCTTATGGTTAGTCTATTTTATTTAGTCAACAGTGGTAGAGCCACGCGGCAGCTTTTGCTTGTGAATTAGAGGTTTACCTCTGCGTTTCGCTTGGTGAGTGGAGGTGGCCGGAGGCCCTTTTTACTGGAAATGAGGCATTCCATCTTAGTCCTCACGGGTGACAACGCATCTGCATTTTGATTTGTAATAGATAATGTAGTTGTCTATGGGCCGCAGCAACCACTTACCATCAGGTGGACTGTGTGCTCGTTTGTCACCCTTATCCTATTAAAAAAAAAGTTATTTTATTATTTTCTTTGTACTATACACAATTTTGGTTTTGCGAAATTGATTGGCCAAAACTTGGCCGTCGTTCGATTGTTACTCCTGTATTATCGTTTAATTGATTGAAGTGGATTTTAATCAACAAAAATGGTGTGATTTTATATCTGCGGAAATATAGTAGCAACGAACAAGTGCTTCGATTGTGAAATAAATCTGTAGTATTTATCCGTTTCTGCGGCTTGAGATGCTATTGCCATTAACTGATCGCTAAATTAGGTTGTAGTCAAAATTTCCCAAAAAAAAAATCTTCACAATGTGACGCATTAGCATAATGTAAAATATTTTGTGAATGAAATACACATCAGGCTATATCGTTGAAGACCTTTGTCTGTTTTCATTGGCAAATCGTAAGAACAATGACCACGACGTTATTTTGCCACCAGGGCGGCGCCACTTACAAATAAGGTGTAATATTTGGACAGATTTCATAGCGAAGATGTTAATTTGTTCAAAAAATGTAAAGGTTAATGGGTAGAGTTCCGTTCTAGGGACACATCCGATTAGGACCAAACTTTTTACATGTTTACCAACATAAATGATGAAAAACCCCTAAGGGATTTTTGGCGCAAATGCCCCTGAAAATTTTTACAAGAGTTTGAAGTTTTAGATTTTTAGTATTAGAACTTTGGGTCAATATTCCTGTGTAAATAAGTGAGGTTTAGTCGATTTATCATAAAAAACTGCCTTAAAAATAAAACTGATTAACATTTATTTAAAAATAAATTTTAATTAAATGACATTGTGTAACAAAAAATCTTTAACAAAAATCTTTACCTCAGTGTCAACTAGTGATATCTGGTGAACGGAAGATTATTAGACGTCATTGCATTATAGCCCCCGTGGATAAAGAATCAATTATTTATTTAAAATCGTCATGATATCCATGCCGTGTCATTGAATGAAAAAGTTTCTGGATATATATAGTCAACTAGTAATATCTGGTGAACGGAAGATTATTAAACGTCATTGCATTATAGCCCCCGTGGATAAAGAATCAATTATTTATTCAAAATCGTCATGATATTCATGCCGTGTCGTTGAATGAAAAAGTTTCTGGATATATATATATATATATATATATATATATCGGTGACGGCGATGATATATTGTTAGCGGTATTCGGCAATGAAAAAACGCTTTAACATTGAGTTATATGTACTACGTACTAGAGAAGCTATTCCAAACAAAAACTGTGCGCTACTCTATGTCTTCGCGCATGCGCGGTAGATAGTAAATTCGCGTATGCGCGAAGACTTTAATTTATTATAAAATAAAATGTTAATATAAAATACTAATATAAAATAAATATAAGAATTTAATATAAAATACTCTGATTTTGATCTAAACAATCATATCTCTGAATAAAATTTAATAATAATTATCATAAGGAATTCACAAATCTTCAATTTATGCAATATTTAGTTTAGTGTACGGATTGCAGTACAGTTCAGTTGAACATAGTCAATGTTCGGAATGCGAAATCTAGTGCGTAGTACATATATATCGATGCGCTTTAAAGATTAAGATGGGATGCTAAGTGATGAAATGGGCATCCAGGTCTCGTTATCTGCCGTACGAAATAGATAATGGTGCTATTTTATGATGGTATTTAGTGCGGGCGTGGCCCTCCAAGCCGGATGTGTGTACAGTTTTGTGTTGTGGCGCAGGGCGAGCGGCTGCTGACGATGTCGTGCTCGGACAAGGTGGCGCGCTGGTGCGTGGTGGGGCTGCAGGGCGCGCTGCTGGCGCGCCTGCTGCGCCCCGTCTATCTGCACGCGCTCGTGCTTGGCTCGCTGCTGCACCCGCACCATCTTCACAGGTACGCACTGCACACTACAGTTACGCATTGCGCGCGCTCCTGCTGGCCTGTGGCGTCGCGGCGAAGGCATTTCCCTTATTAAAAATACTTTTCTTATACCATAGCTTATAAACCGCAATAAAACAGTTTATGTTGATGTGTCTATGGTTTAATATTATACTCTAACATTTGCAACTACTCCACAGATAATAATTTCATATATTTACACGAATGCTACACATGGAATAAAACTAATTTTACAAATTTCATCGCGTTTAATTCGGTTGTGAGGGTTTAAATCACGGGGGTACTGAGGTGTTTGACCTCCCGATATCATAGTTAGCCAGGCTACCTTCAACTTGTGAATATTAATTTTTGGTCCGACCTACACAGAACGAGCTACAGTATCTTGAAATCTTACAGGTGATATGCTTGGGTTTAGATTTTATTAATTATAGGGTACCAATCAGATAATAGCACAGAACCATCTTCTCAAGTGAAATTTGGATTTATTTTTTTAATTTCAATAGCCTTAAAAAATCATCCTTGGTAGTAACGATAATAATAACCAACCAACCAAACACAATTATGTATAAGGTTATATTTAATGTCTTATATTGTACTTTTTTTTTGCTGCTTTTTGCTTTATTTTAAATTTTGTGTTATAATTATATAGAAGGTTTAGGCTTTTTTCGTTTTATCGAAGGACTAAACTACACGTAACAGCTGTGCTACGTTCGTGACGCCAATGAATAGGTTTCTTGGCTGAAAATCAGCGCTGTGTGAGGCCATACTCACACAACACATGCTGAGCCAACCCCTTTTCGGCACAATGCGACCTTTTTTATATATATCAATATGTGCTTTTACTTTCATGTGTATGAACTGCCTGTGCTGAATAAATGTTTTTTCTATTCTATTCTATTCTAATCAAGTGATGTAAAGACGGAAACGATCTTGAACATGTTCACAGACTGCAGACATACCAGAGTAAAATAAATTAAATTAAACGCGATAAAATTCGTAAAATAATTTTAACTCCGCAGAAAATAATGAAATAAAGGATAACCATTTCAATTATTTATTTGACATTATAATGACTAAGGCGATGACATTCTAAAATGTTCTTTATTTCTAAGCACTTATGAATTAATAATGTTGATAGAAATTTATTTACAAACTATTCTATAGAATAGGGCGAGTCCCGATGCGTCATTAAGTAGAAATTGCCTCGAGCACTGAAATAAATACAAAAATATTAATAAACACAATAAAAGTGTAATGCGGAATGTAATGTATTTTGCCAGAAACATCAAATTCCTAAATATATGACAACAGTCGGATGTAAGCATTAGGACATATTATAGACGGCTTAATAGCCATAGCTACACTAAACATTTGTATTACCTACAAATAGTTATTCTAGGATCGTCTAGTGCCAGTGTAAGAATACCCACTACCCCATACCGCTATGTGGGTGTCGTAAGAGGCGACAGAGGGAAACAAACCAGGAGATGGACAGCAGAATCTTCGTAACAACAACTCAAAAATTAAGGGAACTTTGGGGAGACCTATGTTCAACAGTGGAATTTTGATTGGCTGTTAGTTAACGGATTAAGAATATTGTTATGGACGTAACGCCGCCCGGAACTTCTCCGCTTCGCCGCCGCTCTTAAACTGAACATAAATAAACACAAACGACAAATTCTTGAAACTAATTTTAGAATAAAACATCTGCTATCACAGCTGGTGGGGTGGTATATAGTGATGAGGAATCCGATGAACTTATAGACCTAGTGAAATAAAGGTTTCTCTACATTCTAAGTCACGTCCTCAATAACTTAAACTTGGACGTTCAAGGTGTAGTTTATTCAATAAAAAGAGACTAATAGTCGACTCGTAAATTCATGAAAATATCGCTTAATATTTCATTTCATACTAAATATACAGTAAAATTGCGAATCTCCTCCTTTTTCGAAAATAGTTAATAATAAAAAAAAATTATGTACTCCAGATCGAATTTCGATCACGGCGGTCAGTCTCGGAGACTAACCATCTGCGCAGGACCTGTCCTGCTATTATATTGTAGTGCACAAGTGTATTATAGTGCACAAGTGTATGCGCGGGTGCACTCTCCATTCCTTCGCTCTCAAAGTCCGATTTGATGGAAACCCGAAACGACCGGAAAGAGATAAGGTGCGGTGACGGGGGTGAAACACTGCCAACTTCCTAACTCCCGAACTGCTACTGAGAACTTCTTGACATAAAAACTTAATAACTGATTTTGTTGGCCCAACCGGGGATTTGAACCGGGAGAGTGAATTTTTACAATTCGCGTGCACATCGACACCTAAAAACGACACCATGAAGTTGTTACGATGCGCGCGCTGACACCTAAAAGCAACAACTTCAGTGGGTAGTTGTCTCTCAAGTTTTTTTGTTTTGTTACGCTAAAGAAGTATAACTTCCTACGTACACGTATTTTTATTAATTTTTGTACTTTTAGTTTTATTTATAAAATAGTTTATTCATTTCTAATCTTATTAATATAAAATATAACTAATAAATACAGAAATAAACATTAACCTTCACATTTTCCTTAGAAATTATCTTCCCCACTATGAAATCTGTTAAATGTTAATCATATTGTAAAGTGGCGCCGCCGTGGTGGCAGAAAAAGTCGTCCATGCCCTCATTGTGACCTTACTGTGTATTCTTACACTTTTGAAATAGGTACAATAATCATGCATAATATGTGGCCAAATCTAAACAGCTTATGGCAGCGAAAATAATATATGTAAATTACAAATATAAATTAAAATTATAATTATAAACCTGAGAAAACAGTTGCATTTATGACACGTTTTGAAAAATTTTGCTAATTTTTCTTCGAATACAAAAAAATGATAAACTCTTAAAATGATCTGCGAATTAAGTGCCTTCAAGGTAATCGTTCTAAAACATATTGTGCAATAAATAAAAATGATTTTATATCATACTTTGTGTCGATTCCGAAACCCATATGGACGTGCGGCGAGTTTACGCAGTCGCCTCTTCTATATTCGTGCCAAGATGGGCAGGAGGACGCCAGGAAAGAAGCCGGCTTGATAACCGACTCCGCGTAGTATTGGTACGACCGCCAATGGCTGCAGAAGACTGTTGAGGTGGTTAATTCGACATTTTTTATGCAATAAGTGACACAGTCCACCTGCAGGACTAGCATAGGCTGGGGACAAAAAAATTATCCCCCGATTATATCCACTGACAAGAGATAAAATCATCTTGTCCCTATGTCAAAGCACGACAACAGGGGAAAGGAGAAGTATATCCCCGTTTGGCATAACGGGTAGACATAATATATCCCCCGTCCCTAGCATGAAGGGCCAAATGAAAGAGAAAAAGTTGTGGTTTTTTTTTTATATTTGAAAGGGATCATTTTATCCTAGATCATTGGACGTGGGTTTAAGTGTATATTTATACAAATTCTCCCATTTTACCTACTGTGGATATTATATCCACCGGTGTGCCCATGCTCGCAGATCCACCCTTAACTTAAAATTAAGCGAGGGTATAAACATTTCCGCGGGGCTAAAATGTCTCCTGTCCATGCTAGCCCTGCTGATGATAAGTGGATGCTGTGGCCCATGGACATCTAGGAGTACATCTATCTATACAAATAAATAAAATTGAAGTCTCTGTTTGTAATGTCAAAATAACTACTTTTAACTAAATGCATATGAAAAGATATGCGGCACTTATAACAAAAACAATTTTTATAATTTTTGTCTGTCTGTTTGTACTGGCTAATCTCGGAAACGGCTGGATCGATTTTGACGGGACTCACTGGCAAATAGCTGGTATTATAAAGGAGTAACTGAGGGTACTTTTATTTTAGAAAAGGATTTAGGGTTCCGCGCAAAAAAATTAAAGCTTATAAAATTCAAGTAACAAATTCCACGCGGGTGAAGTCGCGAGGAACAGCTAGTCCTCAAATAAGAATCAAAATGCAAATGTGTTGTCACATTTGCATTGCATCACCTTGAGGATTAAAAAAAATGCCTTTTTTCCAGTACAAGGGTCTCCGGTTGTCTACACTCACCATACGAAACACAGCAGTGTTAAACTGCTATTTTACACTGTTATTCTGTGAGAGCGTGGTCCTTCCCCGCTCGAGCCGACTGATTCGTGCTACAACCATATTATAGTTGCAGCTTACCATGCTCTCACAGAATAACAGCGTGAATAATTCAGTGGATTGTAGGTTCGTTTGTGTTCCGGTATGAAGGGTATAGACAGTCAGTATGATTACAGGCTGCGAGGCATTCCATCTCAGTCCTCAGAGGTGACAACGCGTCTGTAACCTACTTTATTTGAAATTGGTTGCAGGCATCCATTGGCTGCAGTAGCCAGTTACCATTACGATGACTGTACTATGATATAATATTATTATTATTATTATTATTTCATTACTTTTTTTACGCGGAGTCGCTTATCGTTACTCCCTATAACATCGGCTATGTACCAGTGAAAGTCCCGTTAAAATCGGTCCAGCCGCTTAGGAGATTAGCCGAAACAAACGGAGAATGTTTCTTTTTTGTTATAGGTACCGTATATACTTTCATATGCATTTAGTAAAAAGCTGTTATTTTGATATACCAAACAGACCCTTCAATTTTATTTATTTGTATAGATAAGGATATCAAAAACACTTAGGTAATAAGGCAAAACATGCAATGGACTAAACTCAGATCTGAGATGCGGCCTGTGCCCAGCCGTGGGATATGTAAAGGCTGGATTTAATTTTAGGGTATCGGATACATACATTATTTACTTACATTTGTTGAGAAGTAACTGCTGTTTGAGTACCACCTCCAGGTTACATCCAGGCTGTGGACTCGTTCCACCGTTGGGGTAGAAGTCAGCGTGTCCTACTGTGCCTGGGAATCCTGGAATTGGGCATCTTTAAATTTATAAGGTGCTAGGAAGCTAATTTGATTGTTATTACTGTTACGAGCTTGGGG